TCTTTGATCGATAAGGGGCGACAATGAAGAGAAAGAGAGTTTTTTTTTTTTTTTTTTTTTTTTTTGGTGGTCGCGCGAAACGCGGAAAAACGACGGACGAAAAGACGCGAGTCATCGACGTAATCGAAGCGGTCGATCCTCTACTTTCTCACCGCTCGAGTTTTCGAATCGCCATAATATGCACTATACACGATCACGTTCATTTTTCAGGAGTCGCGTGTCGAGATACAGCACGATTCGGCTGCGAATTCTAAAGGTTTAAAGGCTCGTCGTCGTCGTCGTCCGTCTCCGCGAACGCGACGTAAAAAGAGGGAGTGGGGGAGGGGAAGCTCTTTTCTGCTGCTTCGAGCTTGGTTTTTTTCAGCAACGAAGAAAAGCTTGCACGCTCGAGGGTCGCGTGAAACGAGAGACTCGTCGCGAGATGCCTTTGCGACGAAACGTCACGGAAAAATCGTCGACTGCGCGGGAACGCACGGACCAACCGGTGGCGCTCGAGTGTGAAGTGCAACGACTCGCCTGAATGTGCTTCTTCTTTGAAATTACGGAAGATTCTTTGAAATTACGGGCGTATCGCGCGTCGGGGGAAAGCGAGAATTAAAGCGTTTCGTGACTGGAACTTCGGCTTCCTCGTCGGGTTATTAGGTGAAACTGATCTAACCTCTAGTCTTCTCGTTGTCCGTAAACAAACGTTCGGCGAGGTGTTTACTTAACGGAGCACGTCAATACTTCTATTATCCAATATTATACAGAGGTTAACGAGAGTACTCGCGCAAGAATTGTCTATATTTCAATTTGTTAGAACTTTACAAAAACAGAGCCGTGTAACAATCCGGTTGGCCTCGTTTTGAAGTGCGAAGCCTCCACTTTTTTACAGCCTTGTGTTCTGTACAAACATGCTTTCACATCATGCAGCGAGAGGGTACTTTCGTTCTTGAAAATCGTCGAAATTCAAATGCCTCTGAGAAGGTTAAAAAAATTTCTTTCACGACTAAATCTACCATGGTCTTGGAATATTGAAATTTTCTCTTTACAACGATCTTTCAGAACCTGTCGTACAATTTTTTTTTTTTTTTTAATCATTTAAGAGTTACATATCAAAATGTTGGGATTTCTTGAATTCTGACGTTCGAGGTTCAACAAAAAAAAGAAAAAAAAAAATCCTACAGTAAGTTTCAAAGAGTTAATGTAAAGGGAAGACTTCGATCTTGAAGGCAATGGTAGATCTAATAGCG